GATTTCGTTGCACCGTCAAGTACTTAGGGTGGGGAGTGCCGTTAGTAGACGAGAAGTAAGATATTGCAATAAGTTACGTGTTGCAAAGGTTGGAAGTGCGCCTAGGGCCCGTGCTGTGGTCCACGGTAGCGGTACACCTTGATTGGTTACCACTTATCAGCTGATGCAAGGTCGCGCGTAAGCGGGGCCCTACACTGATTGGTCAATGTTACCGCGAGATAAGCCTCAAATATTGCCTCCCCATGCCTTAAATACGTATTCGTAGTTATTCAACATTTGTCTCATAGTAGCTGTTTCGATATGGCGACTGGCTTAGGGATTTTGTTCGCTCCAAAGACGTTCGCAACCGGCGTTTATTGAGTCCAGGTTGGCGGCACAGCGATGTCATCGATACCCCGCCCATCAAACATACTTTGGGCATTACCCGCCTCCATGAACCTTATTTACTATATCCATGTAAGTCCTTTGGCAGCTGCATTTACGTCGCTACTATGGAAGCAACAGCTGTTGGCTTCGCGTACATTCCTGACGGGCCTATAAATGTTCAAAACCAGCGGCATCAGCATGGCTACTGGAAAAGCATTCACTATGGACACGGCCTGTTCCCACCAAAATATTCAGTAAAGGAATATAGATCCCACAGCGGACGTCATTTTTTCGCTACGAGGGAAGCCACTGATTTGGTCTAAAGTGGTGCTCCAAGTGTAGAATGCAGATAAGGGAGAACCACAAGGATTGAGACGTAAGTTCTATTACGCAACACGTAGGCTAGTCAACTGTTCGCTTCAGGTTTCTGTCCTTCTTCAATAATGGCGCAGGAGTGTCTTTCTGAAAGGCAGACAGATAAGTTGTCGTCAGAGCAACGATTTAAATTCAACCACGCGCCGAACTAGTTTCGATCCTCTTTACACCGCACCCCTTCTATATAGGCAACGTCCCCGTTGCCACAACAAAGCCCCCTTGAGCTGGTACTTCAACTTCAGTGGCTACTTCTATCGGTGGCTCATTGTGATGTTCCTCATCCGAATGCTCAGATTCGATATGGAAAGGTTTAAGCCGCTTAAAGTGTACGACCATGGACGGCCCAACGGCTTTCTTTGGGTCCCTAACCACACAAGTCAGATCAGAAATTATTCGGTCTACCACGTAGGGGCCAGCCCACTCACGATGCAGTTTCGCTGGTATTCCGGATACCGGTGCCTGATGCAAATATACGAGGTCGCCTGCTTTCAACGGGACCCCGAAGACCTTCTTGTCGTAGTATTCCTTCTGTCGCCGTTGAGCGTTCGCCAAATGGATGCGTGCCGCTTCGTGTGTGCGTCGAACGGAGTCGAGGAGTTTGCTGACGTATTCAACAACCGACGGGTATACCTGTTGTGATCTCGGTAATCGGACATCCGAGGGCAACCGAACTTCTCTACCCGTCCACATAAACGACGGCGTTTGTCCGGTAGAAGAGTGGACCGTACTGCGATAGGCCAATAAGCATTTAGGCAATAACCTATCCCACTCGTAAATGTTCTGGTCCACGAACGCCTTCAAGAGTGACTTCAACGACCGATTCGTACGTTCAACTTGTCCGTTCCCTTGTGGATGGTAGGCCGTCGTTCGCGTTTTATCAATACCGAGTACTCTGCACATCTCCTGGACCAATGAGCTTTCGAAACATGCTCCCCTATCGGAATGCAATTGCCCAGGCGCTCCCCATTGGCAAACCCAGTGGTTAATCATCGCTGTTGCCACAGTGAGAGTATCAGCCTGTGTGATTGGCACGGCTTCGCACCATTTGGTGAAGTAGTCTACCATGACTAGAATGTAGCGATTCCCTCTCGGCGTTTCCGGTAGTGGACCAACAAGGTCTACTCCAACTATTTCATTCGGGTAACCTGCTGTCATGGATTGTAATGGTGCCCTATGAGCAATAGGCGGATTTTTGAACGTCGCGCATCTTTCGCAAGTTTGGCAGAAGTTGACAATGTCTCTTCGTTGGTACGGCCACCAAAATCGTTGACGCGCCGCCGATTCGAGTTTATTGATTCCAGCGTGTCCCAGCTGTTGGTGCAGTTCCGACAGCACTTCGGTAACTAACGCCTGGGGAACAACAATCCTCCTCAGGTACGTGGGGCCGAAATCGAAGACCAACACACCCTCTTCGCTGGCGAGTTTATCCCACATCGCCCACAAGCACCGAGCTTCGTAGCTTTTCCCTTCCATTTCTTTCGGAGCTGGTTTGTCCCTTCCCGAGCGCCGCGCATGGTAGATGAGTGATATGTCGGGGTCCGAAGCCTGTGCCTCTTGCCAACGACCATACTCGGCTTTCTGTAGGTTGACTAGCGCTACGTGTTGCGTAATGCAGGAAGGACAGTTTCCGTGATCTCGAGACGGAATCCTCGATAGCGCGTCCGCGTTGCCGTGTAGTTTCCCAGGCCGATGGTGACATTCAAACTCATACTCCTGTAGTTGCTCCTGCCATCGAGCAATCTGCCCCTCAGGGTCCCTGAAGTTTTGCAACCACCTGAGTGATTGGTGATCAGTCCGTACTAAGAATTTTCTTCCTAGAAGGTAGTGCCGATTTTGTTTTATGAAAAACACCAACGCCAACATTTCTTTCCTTGTCGTACAGTAATTTCTTTCTCTTGACGTAAGGCTTCTACTACTGTACGACACCACTCGTTCTATTCCGTCCTGCCCTTTCTGTGACAAAACAGCTCCAATCGCCTGGTCGCTCGCGTCCGTGTCTAGAATAAACTCCCCAGCATTTGGTGACAGATCGGGGAAAACCAACACCGGAGCTTCACAAAGGGATTCTCGTAATCGATCGAAGGAATTTCGACACTCAACGTTCCATTCGAAGGTTTTACCTTTCTGTAACAAGGTACTCAAAGGCGCAGCGATCTCTGAGAACCCTTTCACGAATCGCCGATAGTATGAGGCTAACCCTAAAAAACTGCGTAGTTCATCAACGTTGGCCGGGGTTGGCCATAATCTCACTTGCTCCGTCTTACGTGGGTCAGTACGAATCCCCATCCCCGAAATGACGTGCCCAAGATACGTTACCTCGGTCTGTAGTAAATGGCACTTTGTGGACTGGAGTTTGAGGCCCACATTTACTAGGCGTGTTAGCACCTCCGCCAAGTTGTTTAGGTGTTCGTTTTTTGTTTTTCCGTGTACCATGACATCGTCCAGGTAAACGAGACACTTATGGGGCATCAATTCGTGGAACACTTTCTGCATCAGTCGTTGAAAAGTCGCAGGGGCGTTAGAGAGGCCAAAATGCATGGTCTGGAACTCATAAAAACCTGATGGTACTACAAACGCCGTCTTCGCTCTGTCGCTCTCCTCCACTTCTACTTGCCAGTAGCCGGAAGCCAAATCTAGCGTACTGAAATAAACTGATCCTCCTAGTGCGTCAAATAGATCATCGATCCTGGGGAGGGGAAAAGCGTCTTTTCGAGTAATCTCATTTAATCGTCTATAGTCGACACATAGGCGGAAACCACCATCCCTCTTTTTCACTAGAACAACCGGGGCTGCCCATGGTGAAGTCGAGGGCCGTATTACCTCCTTTTCTATCATGTCATCTATGAGCTTTTGCAATTCAGTCTGCCAATGTAATGGTATGCGTCTTGGGGGGATTTTAATCGGGATTGCATCCCTGGTGTCGATACGGTGTTTCACGAGATTGGTTCTACCCAAGTCGGTACTGCGCCATGCAAATGCGTCTGAGTGTTTGCGCAACACATCTTTGAGCCGCTTCAGTGTCTGCTCATCCGGGACTCTGTCGAGTGAGCGAATAAAGGCGTTAATGTACTTTTCACTCTCTAAGGTGTCCTCATAGGTCGTAGATGCTTCCAAAGCACCACCTCCACAGGGTTTTAACAAAACTGTACAGTTATCGGTGATTAGTTGGCACCTGTCCAGATCTAATCGACACTTCAACCGGCGTAACAGATCCATCCCAACAATAACAGCAAACGGAATTTTGTCCGCAACGATAAACTCATGGGTGAAACTCTGTTTCGCGACGTCAACTTGTGCGGTTAGGGATCCCCGAACGGACAAGAATTCTCCATTGGCGGCAGTTAGTCGACAGCGACAAGGCGCGTATACATGTTCTGCTAGTTGATTAGTCAAACTAGATCTGATTAGGCTCTTACATGCACCTGTGTCGATGAGACCTATCAATGGAACCCCTGCGATCTGTAATTCTATTGCTAACGCTGAATCTGTGGTCGACGCACAAACAATGGTTGGTATAGAGTGTGAATGCAGTAGATGCCACTCACCTGGGCGTCCGTTATTGTAGCGAGGTAGACCGCGATTCGGAATTGGTCGGTGGGGCCGCCGGAAGTACGATTGCACTGGAGGTCGCGAATAGTCCCCTCGAAACGAAACGCGATTCCAATTTCTTCGGTCTGGTGGTTGGAGTCTAGCGGGGCGGTATCGATTCAGTACGCAGCATGTTTCCAGGGGGCCCATGGACTCGTCGACTTGCTCTAATTGATCTGCCACTTTTAAGGCTGACTGAAGACACGTAGGTCGTCGTAAACGGAATTCTCTTTTTACCGAGGGCGTCTGGATGCCCTCGAGCAACTGCTCTAACACTCGCTCGTCCTGTTGTTCCGGCGTTTCATCTGTGTAGGCATTTATCGCCATCCTCCGCAACTCGCGAACGGATGTTTCCACGTTTTCTCCCGGTCTCTGATACCGGGCATGGAAAACTCTGCGCAGTTCATCGGGCAGGCCACGCCGATCTAAGTTGCGACGAAGAGCAGAGAAGGTTTCCGTAGTGACTTCTCCCTCTAACACTTTGCTATCCGTAACTTTGTCGAATGCCTCTCCTGCCAGCAGGCCCATGATCACCGTACCCCATTGTTGGGCTGGAAAATGCTTGACATACATTTGCACCTGTTTCTCCCATCGGAGATATGGCATGCCTGGAGAAAACTTTTCTGGAGGGGTTAACGGGGGTGTGGAAGGGGCGGGTGTCTGATTTGTTGTCATCTTCTGCATAGTGTCCGACAAGGATTCCAAAGCGAAGGTGGTGTCGGTGGTCCACTTGGCCTGTGCATGGCCGGTTGTCCCATTCTGGCTGGGGGGATCGGCGGTTGGGATGGAGACACGTCCACATTTAAGGCGATGAGATCGTTCGTTGGCACATGTGCAGTGGGAAGCGGCTTTGAAAATGTGACATCGTGAAGTGGAGGTCCCAAGGCAGGAGATGATCCAGGAGAAAAGGTAGGAGTGTCATCGAAGTCCTGCACCCTCAACTCTTGATCATCAGACTCAGGGACAGGTTTCGGATGTGTCAGAGTGAAAGGAAGTTCAAGAGAAACATCGCTTGCACCGAAACCGAGGACCAATCGCAACTTGACGCGATACTGAACAATAATCCCGAGGCCCTCCTTCTGCTGCGAACTGCAGATAATGGTAGAGGACGCCAGATTGGTGTCCTCGTGCTTCAGTTTGCCGTCCAACGCCAAACCTCTTTTGTGTCGATTGTTGCTCAACAAAGGCCTCAGCCGGTACACCTTACACCAACCTGTCTGGCTCGGGAGGATGGGGAATGATTCTCTGATAATTTGATCTTCTTCACTGTTTTATTGGAATTGTTGTCTACGAGTACGTTGACTGCTATGGACTCGCCATGGTAGTATTTCTCCTTATCTAAGGAAGCTTCTAGTCGTAGACACCCGGGACTCATAATAAAGTCCTTCACAACGACTGCAGATCCAGAGATAATGGCGAAACCAGGTAAACTGTCTGGTGGTGAAATTCAGCCGGTGACCTCCGATCCTGGCGGGGTCGCCAATTGTAGAATGCAGACAAGGGAGAACCACAAGGATTGAGACGTAAGTTCTATTACGCAACACGTAGGCTAGTCAACTGTTCGCTTCAGGTTTCTGTCCTTCTTCAATAATGGCGCAGGAGTGTCTTTCTGAAAGGCAGACAGAAAAGTTGTCGTCAGAGCAACGATTTAAATTCAACCACGCGCCGAACTAGTTTCGATCCTCTTTACACAAGAAGCATGCATAGAATGGGTTTTATCAAGGTCATTGGTAAAAGGTAAACGCAAGTCACACTGCATTGCATTGTTAGGTCATGGAATGCACGTGTTGAACATACCTTTCGCGGCGCAATCACTGAAATGTGGCAAAAGCACTACTACATGTAAATGAAAAGGAAACATGTCATGAAATTCAATGCGGACGTCTGTACCGATTCCAAATATTCACGTCCTTATGAGGAGCGGTTTCTGCGCTCTCGACTCACAACGCGCAAGCACTGAGGAATGGCGTATAGTAAACTGTGCCCCTAAGACAAGAAAGCAAAATGCGTACGTTTAACGTGAAGTTAACTCACGGGTTCAAGCGGTACCAATGTTGCATAAATCCAGGTAGTCAGGCCGCTGGAGACTATTTGATTAGCTGAAACCAGAGGCGATGGGTTTGGTGAGAGGCACATGATCAGGTATCATAGCAAGGTTATATGGTAAACAACCTGCAGTGTAATACAGCGGTAGAGAATGTGGTCGACGATTACGGATCCACCCACTGAACCAACGGCCAAGTGGTGCGGCGCATGCAAGCCGATGCGCGGGCACTACGGGCTTGTAATGAGGCACCACAAGGCTATAGGACAGAGGGTGACCATGAAATGGGTCGTAACGTTGTTTAAAATTTCTGGGAAAGCAGGCCCAGTTATCGGTGCGGACACACCAGGGGCTGGAGGATCTCGTTGCGGCCAGTTGTGAAACCTGAGTACCGGTTATGCCTCATGCGGAGCGAGTTATAAAGCACGGAAGCATGGGCGAGCATCGGTTGACTGCGAAGTGCTTCAGTGGAGCAAGAAAACTTACGTGTAAGCGTGGAAGGCATTGGAGGCAGACGGAGTACTTTACGGGACATGCTGGCAAGGTGGTGGGCAAGAGGCGCTGCCGGCATACTGCTGCAAAGGTTGTGTTAATCATCAAACATCCTACTTAATCATTTCCAAGGAGGAAGCATGTCACCATGCATCAAGGAGGTGTATCAAGAGAGCAGACTGAAAAAGGCGATTGACTGGTGGTTAGGAGGCGCAATGGACATGGTGCTGAAAAACAAGGATGAAGCACATAAACAGCTAGGTAATCGGTTTCAAATGGGGACATATGTGGACCTTCATGTACGACGGGGACTGGGGACTTGGAGGAGGAGGAGGAGACCTGATGCTGAAAAGAAGTATTAATGGCATAACCACGTATTTACGTTACTTACTCGGTATGCATTCCTATTTTCCGCAAGTTACAGACAGTCTTCTCGGCTGGCCTCCACATTAGTTTACTGCTACCGGAGTACATTTCCGTAAGCCCTACTCATACATCGCAACCTGAAGCATTGGTCCAACTGCCTTTTGAGGCGTTGCATACACCCACACTTCATCTACTAGTCAAAACCGTAAAGGAGAAGAGAACCGCTCCATAGCAATGTCCTCTTGAAGTTCAGTGGAGGAAATAATAACATACTGACTGCGCGTTACCTTTCCCAAGAATACCTGTAAAGGGCGCCTGAACTGCAAAACGTTCACAAACATCTTACTAACTGTCCCCATTACCACGGAAGTGTACCTCCAACGTTAAGCTTTCATTTACAGATCGTAGATATATTCCTCTTCCTCGTTATACTCCGCAAAAGTTTGATGGAACCAACGTTGGCATAAGTCAGACATCACCTACAGAACTTCATTATCCACGGATGCATCATCTTCTTCCCTCAGACAAAAGGCGTGTAGGTTCATGACGGACGGCTCTGTTGTCCTCCGCCTCCTTTTTCCCACTTTAGAATCACCAGACATGGCAGTGTCTAGACGTCTCAATTGCAATGGACTTCCCGAGGTGTATTGAGCAGGAAACTCTGTCGCTGGCCGTTGAATGGGAGATTTATCTTTTGCGGAGTCAAGCGCCGCAGCTGTTTCACCCCTGCAGTGGTCTCTTGATAAAACATACCTGTGCATGTCAGGTACAGCAACGTAATGTTGCACGGAGCTTGTACCCGGCATACGTCCTGTACCATTAGGCAGCCTACATCACCCATGTGTTTCCAGGCAATCGCAGGTACCAGTCAACCACGTCCAGCAGAATAGGTTCACCACAGTGCCGCGTAGTGCAGTAGAGGGACAATCACAAGCCACGACAGCACCTCAGCAAGCTTCTTTAGGCTCCTCAACACCGCGTGGATCCATGGCTGCAAATCTGAGTTTGCTATTCCGCCATCACCTCCTCCTCCTTGGGAAGTTTAGTCCCCTGTCCACCGCGCGTAACTAATGCATATCGCCAGCACCTACTCATGTCACAGCGCTAACTTCGGAAGCCTCGGGAAACAAGACAACCGGCCGACTGAATGAAGCATTTCATGTGCAATCCGCTACAATACTAGCCATCGGCAATCCCTTCCTGACCATCACATGGCACATATGCGCAAACGGTACCCTTCATTGCAGATGAACTTCACATTTGCATGACACTTCAAGCAGTTGATACCGCAGCTGCTTTGAACCAGGGGTGCCTTCCACCAACCAGTGCGTTCCCGCATCATCCAATGACGTTACGCATGCACGTCTACAGTGCCCCACCAACTGTATGTGAGCACAGGGAAGAAACCGGGTCACTTAGGGGTTGCTAGGGCCAGCTGCACAGGTGGAACAAATGGCGTCGCAAGGTGTCATCGGATCGCCATTTGCCGGACTTGCATCCACGAACTAACACGCTCAATAATCACCGTACATAACGTTCTGAGAGGCCACTGCTCCGTCAACTCTTTCTTCAGGTGTTTATTCGCATTCTTCACCCTGTTCGTTGTCGCGCAACCGAATAAACATACCGCAAGCAGACGATAAGCCGTCCAGGATGATGCCCATGGGACCGATTTACTTCGCATGTACCGGTACAATTCCTTACTCCCACAATCGCCCTCAAAATCCTGTTGATATGCCCCCATTACATGTGCCTATCAGACACAGCAACAACTGCCAAAGAGGGTTCCGCAACCCTGAACCTAAACCAGCAAGTTTTGCACCCCTTCGGTACATATCTCCCACAAGGTGAAAACGGCAAAATTCAAACGTCGCGTTGGGATATACGGACGTCAGCACGCCAAACTCCTCCACGCACGTGTCCATAACAAGTGTTTGAACTTACGCTGTGCAACATTCCCATAGCTTCCACCGCCTGTCTGTAGCTGTGCGTCATCTAATTTGGCAACAATGCGTAAAAAATATGTACGCGATTCCGGTAACATCTATTAGGATACAGTGCCACAATATATAGCCGCCTTACTTCAATTGGTGCTTGGCAATCGCCAACAACACCTCACAGTAGCGTGCAGCTACCGATTCAGTGCAAGACGTCATGAAAAACACATATCTAACTATGCTTCCCTATTTCACTACCCCGCGTCTTCCGTCACCTCACATACCTCCCCTGTCTGCCGCTTCAGCTGACGCCTAGTCACCGTCTCTATGCCGTCCACAGTCAACACTCGCCCATGCTTCCGGTTCATGTAATGACGAATCTCAAGTACAAGTTCAAGTGGGACCGGAACAGTAGGAAAATCCCTCGAATGCTCCACCTTTGCAAACGCCGTTGATCCAACATGAAAACCAGTGCATCGATGTGCCAAAGGAGAGCCAAACCAACATACAATTCACAAAATCAACCAAATCATGCCCACTAGCAGTCCTTGCTGTGTCCGCCAAGTGAAGTGAAGTGAAATAGAAAACAGTAGTGTCAGTAGAGGAAACAGAGGAGAAGACAAGGTTATCGACATTCGTAGGCAATATTAAGATGTAATCTAAAAGGAGTTAAAGAAGCTTAGGCCGTAGTAGACGAACAAAATTTTAAAACATGAAGGGGAAGGCTTTAAACTACAGACCGAGTGCGTCAAGTAAATGCTGAAGTACTTTCACCGTCTGTGCCATCACGACGTCTGCAGGCAGTGCGTTTCCATAAGCTATGTTGCCGCGCAATAACCAGAAAGCTGCCCAGACCCGGTCAGACCTGGTTTTGTGCAACTTTAAGAGGTGGTCAAGTAGGGTTAGCGCTCAAGTTTGACAAAACCGTCTAGTCTAAGTAGGAGCGTTCTGACCCATCAGTATACAATATGTGTGGACCAAGTCGCCCCGAAACCGCCTGTAATGCATGGAAAACATCTAACCTACGTCGCCTAACCGGGTACTTCAGTTGCTTTAATGGTGACGCGTGCATCATTTTCATCTAGGACTGCAGGACCCGTTCCACTGTCGTCTTATCACGAACCAGCAATGGAGGAAAAGCCTGAACGCAGTATTCCAAGCGCGGCATTACGAAAGAGGAAAATAGTCTAAAGCACCTTTCGGTGGTTATGATCCTGAATGATATCAGACTCAAAACCTCATGCTCCTCCGCCTCCGCCTCCGTCATATGCCGCGTCTGACAATACAGACACGGAGTACCCGTCGGAACATTGGAACATTGTAGGTAATTAGAATAAAAGCCTGAAATTTACATGATCCCTAGGGTAAAACGAGTTCGGGTCGGGTCTAATGAAAGGCCAATCAATCTTATAGTGGGTTGGACTCACATGTTAGCCGTATCTTCATCGGGCTTATGCGGCATTTAAACAGAATGCACCCCGCCTCAAAGCGTGACATCCCACCACGCCATCCGAAACGGCTATGGAAAGGAAGTAG